ATATTCATATTCAATATTGTATCACTGTCACATTATCATTATTTACATTTTTTTCCCTATAAAAGTATGTTTGACTTATGCACCAGAACTTCATAAATTTACTTAAATTAATTGAATATATTTTTTTAATATTATTAAAATTGTTCCGTACTTAGCAAAAATAATTATTTTAATTTATTCTCTATATTTATGTAAATTTAAAACAAACTTTCCTAGGCCCACATCATAGGCCAGCCTAAAATAATAAAGCAGGAGGAGCCAAATTAACAATAATGCAGAGGTTCCCCGTCTACTACAAGTCGTTGGCGTCTCCTGGCAATCAAGATAACCTTCAAGCAAAATCCTTCCGGTCACTAACACATCTTCTGCATATTCATAATTTGCATTTTTTACTACTGTATTATCAACTGTCCTACTGAAACTCAGCTGACCATGGGTTCCACGTACAGCAAAATGAAATGAGCTGTTTTACGAAAGCTTAGTAATAACCATACCTTCTCCCAGGAGAGGCTTTTTTCCATTAGGGACCCCTGAAAATGTGCTATTTAATATATATGAAATAAAGTTCCTCTATTATGCACTTTATTTTATTACCCCTGGTCATGTGATTTAATGTGGCATAACGCATGAGCTCCATTGGCTAAAGCCACCTCAGAATACTAGTTGACATTTATTTATATAACCATGAGCCATAGTGGGGTCACTTAAGGAGCAGAACGTGTAAACAAACAAGAAGATACATCGTTAAAACATAAAAAAACACCAAGTGGTCAGAGGGACTTTCCCCATACACCAGGTTAGTATGGCCTATGGAAGAGTTTGACAGGGGGATAAGACCTCTTTGTTAAAGCCTGTATCATTCAGAGTAAGTTAGTCATTGACACTGCTGTGACATATGATTTGTGAGCTGTATCATAGTATGAACTGCATCAGCAGCTACCATTGCAATGTTTCATTATAATCATAAAATAAACGTAAGGATAAGAAAAAGACTGTTGAAGTCTGGCCATATTGAATTTGATTAAAATTAATTGTTTTGATTAAAGAACATTCATATGAAAGTGGTAGGTTTGTAAAATTTGACAATAATTGGATAAATTAATCAAAAATAATAATATAATAATAATTATATAATTATATGCTTTAAATTCAATTATTTTTTTCTTGAATTGTAAATAATTTTTTATCCTTTATAGGATTATTATATTTTGTATTTTTACCAATAATATATAAGTAGTTAAATTTTAAATTTTCATATGCCTTATGTACTTTTAAGATGGCTACTATTTTCTTAGGCAAGACTTTTTTTATACCTTGATTAGCGAACCCGCCGACTGCAAATATTGATTTGGAATAAAAATAAAATTTTATTTTGGCCAATTAACACACCTGCCATCACGAAAAAGTGGAAATATCAGAAAAAAATAAAAGTTTTTCTTTATTTTTAGTATGCCCTCCACTGCCTTGAAATCTCCAAAGATAAGATATGTATATTTCTTCCAAATTATATAATTATATAAATTTGAAGCATTTAACCAGCCTATTTTTACATTCACCAATAAAATTTTATTTTTATTTTCTCCATCTGGATGGTTTTGGCAAAACTATTTGCTAAATAAGAAAACAAAATTTTATGTTAATTTTTTAATCCGCCCTGCTCTGATAATTTTTAGAAAAACAAGTACGAGAAACAAGGATTTAAAAAACTCTCACCTTAATTATTCTCTTTCTCTTTATTGCATACAAAAGAACAAAAAGAATACAGGTATGGTAGTATGCAATAGGAGCCAAGAAAAATAGCCAAAGCTAATTGAGTTTGAGCCCCTTTCAAATTAAACATTAATACAATACATATAATAAAATATAAATAAATTAATTTAAAAAAATGTATTGTTTCACTGTTTAATGCCAAAATTCCATTAAAAAAAAAGTGTCACCTTAATTATTCAGTATTGTTTTACTGTTTAATGCCAAAATTCAATCAATTTTAGTATAGCTTTTTAAATGATAGTGGTGGTTAAACCTGATATGTGAATAAAAACATTATTGTAGTACAGTAAATAAAATGTTTTGACTAAAATATCCAGTATCCAGCCCCTATTGTTCAAGTTGTAATTTTATATCATTGTATATATTGCTAACATTTTGCATAATACAAGGGTTTTTGGCATAATTTTGGTTTTTTTTAATTATGAATTTTCACTGATCATAACCTTCAATATTATATAAATTACAATTATTGTAGAGTGTACATATATTATATGATTGTATTAAATATAAAACAACCATCATTGATAAGGAAAAAAATAGGTCAATGCATTTAATTATGTTTATGCAATAAACAGGCATTAAACATAATTTATTTAATATAAATAATTGATTCAGATTTAGTTATTAAAATATAGGCAGAAATTATTATACACATTTTCATTACTCTTAAAAGCTTTTACTATATATGCTAATATATTTTCATGTTGGCATACAAATGAAATATTTCATGTCTAGAGAAAAATAATGGAGTTTACCATTTAAAATGACAGGCAAATTTTTAAGAAGGATTTTAGGTCAATCCAGAGATAAATTCAGGGCCAAATCAATCAGTAGATATCAAGTTTGATTTTCTCCCTTCTAAGGTTTCAAATCTCATTATTATTGGGCAGTATTATATATGTAATAAAGTATAGTTTGTGTTCAGCTTCAAGCCAGTGAAAGTGTGAGGAGGATGATGATGAGGAGTGAAGATGATGAAAATGATGACAATGGTGGCTATATTCTTGTCATGACATTTAAATGTTTAAGTAAAGTTCCTAAATATTTAATACATTTCTTAGATAATATCATTAATAATTTTCCTGACAAAAATACAAGCAGCAAATCAAAAAGCTACTTAGTCTTGCCAAAGTGGGAAAATTATTTTTGGAAAAGATTATTTAAATATCATTCTGTTAACTATGGAATGATCTTTCTACAGATATTCGTAGCAACATGCATTCCCTGACTACGTAATCTTTTAAAAATAAGTTGTTTCACTTTTTGTAGCAATATGATTTTTTATATTGTATAAGTTGTCAAGTATTGTATAAGTTGTCCATAACTTTTGTGATTGTCTTTAAATAGATGGATCTCAAGGAAGAACAATGTTTTTAGATCGATTGAGTATCCAGAATAAAAGGAAGTTACAACAATGATAAAAAAATATGACAATGAAGACAGTGACAAGTATGATGATAAAAGAGAAGATGACAATTGATAATGATGACAATGATAAATAGGAACATGATGATAATAACAATGGTGATGCTGACAATGAAATGGATAATGTCAATAATCATAGGATAATCAGGTGTAGGCTTGCCTAATATTTTATGAATAAAATTTAATTTCAATCAAGTTATAAAATGATTTATTTCACAGATTATATAAATCATTGGTCTCCATTAGTTGGGGCATCTCATAGTAAAGACTATGTAATTTGGGAATACGGCGGATATGCTACAGAGGGTGTAAGACAGGTTGCTGAATGGGGCTCGGCCGCAGCTATGGAGAATGAGATTAAGCAACAGGTGAGTTTTCCCAGGCGTATGCTACTTTTCCTAATACATACAGGGGGAAAGCTTGTTTTTGCCTCGGGTGGTGTGAAAATCCAGAATGCCAGACTAATTTCTATCCCAATAAAAACTCAATGGCCCTATTTATTTTGATAACACACTTAACAATGTGTCTACACCCCCAGCCTATGCCCATGGCATATGTGATATGTTTCTTGATTCACCGATATTATTAATAAATGTATCTATCAATTATGTGTTCGGCTTGATGCAATTTTGACATACAAGGTGACCAACATGCTATGAGGTAGATCCAATTTAAAATATGCAGGAAATATTTGCGAGCAATATATTTTTATGGGGAACAGTGCTACATTCAAAGCAGCTACTATAGCAGCTTTTCATGGTAATTTTTCATGACAACAGTTATAGAATGTACATTAAAAGCAAATGTTCATGGGAACTGTATATAATCTCATGATCAATGTTTTACAGTAGAACCCCCTCCTTTGGAGCACTTCTATTAAAGGGACACCCTTATTAAGGGGACATTTTCAGGCACGAAACAAGGGAAAGTTAATCTTTTAACACTACAGCCAACCCCTATAAAGGGACACTTTTTCGGCCACAAATTAATTTTTTATTTTTTTTTTTTCTCCTCAACAGGGAGGAGGAAACTTTGTGACTGGGCCCCATTTTCCCCAGCCACTGGTGCATTCCATTGCCCAAAGTCACCTAGAATTTAGGTCAATCTTCTGTACCCCAAGCAAGAAAATGTAAAATCATTTAGTTACAGGGATAGACCTATTAGTTTTTCAAAATTGTGTCATTGTTTTATAGCCATAGTTTCATTTTCTTGCTAATAAATGTTGACATCACAATGTTTTGTCCTAGTTATTTTTATAACATTATTATAATATATTCCTAGCATTAAAACACATGTTTAAAAGCCACACATCACTGCCTGTCTACATAAGTGGACACATCAGCATTTGACGATTAATTATTTTGACTTCTGATTACTTTTTAACAAGACTTTCTAAAATTATTCTACATTGTTATGCAAAAAAAAGGGTTATGATAGAATAGGAAAGAAAAGCTGTCAATTTTTTTTTTAGATTCAATGTAGTATTAATTCATGAAGTAATTATTTTTTTGAGATTTTAAAAGAAATTCCCCTACTGTAAGATTAGCTGGGGGCAAGCGATCATCACAAGATATCGTCATGTGAGTTGCAGTACCAGGAATACTTCCAGGAAGAGGTTTGCACGTTGTTTGTCATGTGATTGACTGCATCCAATGACCAGGGACACGTGCCTTCAGCCATTCTTTCCAAAATAAATGTGCGCCCTATTTAAAAATAAAACAAAAGTAAAATCAAAAGATATAATTGTGAAAACAAACACATTTTTGAAAATGACTTGTGTGCAAATTACAAACTTAAGAAAAACCAAAAAAAAACAAAACATTGATTCAATTGTGGTGCTATAAAATATTCACTTAGCACTCAGTGTCTGAATGTTTCTTTATATGTTTTTTTACATGGAAACACTGTTTAATGAAAAAAAAGATGCCTATAAAGAATATGTTGATTTTGTTGTGGTGTTAGGAAAATGATTTATTACTCAACATCGCCAAAACTGAAGAAATAATTATTGTCAAACATCAGTAGGAGAGCACAAATTTTCAATTGTTAAGGACCAAAATTTAGAAATTGTAAACCCAAATATGTTTTTGTATACATTAATAACAAGTTGGAAAGTTAATGCAAATAAACTAAATTCAAAATCAAATCAGCATATGTACTTTTTGCGTAAGATCAAGAATTCCTGTTAATTCGGACATCCGTTCTATATTTTATGTATCGGTAACTTAATCGGTTTTCACCTTCTCTTGTATCACATATATTAATGGACACACTCAAGAAAGTGTTAAAGTTTAGCACCATTAGAAGGCATGTAAAATAATCAGCTGCACTTGATATGCTATGCAATGACGCCATGAATAAGATTTAAAACAGGATCATCAGTATATCGTATCCTCTTCACAACTCGGTTGTTGTAATACATCTGGTAGGTTAAGAAACGCATATATAGGACATATAGGAATGCCTTTTTCATGCCTTTAGCAATGCGACTCACAAAAACATTGGCATATATAGTGATTACGTGATATAATATATAATCGGTACCGAAGTGGCTGAGCTTGATATGCTATGAAATTTAAAACAGTTTGACAGTATCGCATCTTTTTCACAACTCGGTTGTTGTAATACATCTGGTAGGCTAAGTAACACATATATAGGACATATAGTCTGGTACATCATGAATGACTACGTATGTGACAGCAGCATTACCGCTATGATCAAAACCTTAAAGTGGGAGTCATTAAAACATCAAAGGAAAGTGGCAATTGAAGTCTAGGTTCAGTAGGTTCAAGCTCGGCTAAGCTACCCTGGAATACCTTTCACCTTTTTTTTAAGAAGAATTAGAAATATTATTAAAAGTTAAAAAATAAGCAAAGCCACAACTTTAATAAATTGTTAATATAGGTTTAATGCACAGTAGGTGTACCGGAAGATGATGATGATGGTAGAGAAACTTGTTCATGCCTTTAGCCATCCTACTCGCAGAGACAGCATTTATACAGTGATTACGTATGATATATCTTTACCTGCAATGCTGTATGTATATAGCTTAAATGTTGTGTTATGATGGACTTCATATTTCATGTTCTAAGAAGGAAACGTAATTTCATGAAGACTTCTTTTGAAGACATTGCATATGAATCTGAACATAATGTATCACAGAATGTCAGACCTAACAAATTACAAGCAGCCTACTGAAGAAAAAAGCAGCAAAATGCCACCAAACTTTACTGGTTATTATTCACATACTCAGCCTCCTCGATATATATGTGAATACTAGAATATAAATTATACTATAATGAAGCTGTTAGTGTTACAATGTACAAGATTTTTTTTATTCGGTGCACTGGAGCAAAACTAATTCCATGTATTTGACAAAGGGATGAATAAAAAATATCTTGTTTCTCGTATCTTGTATATTTCATAATTTTGTTTCCTTCATACCTTGACAGATTTGGCAGCTGGAACATCCAGAAATTTTATGAAATAATCATTATGACATTAATTATAAGAAATGCCCCAAATTTTCAAACATTTTACTTTATAGTCATAAAAATATTTTTGTTTAACGAGTTGAGGATGAAACTGGAAGAAGCAAGCATCCAATAAAAGTGAACTGTGCATTGAACATGTCTCCACTTGCTCTGTGCCAATGAGTGTGTAGAAACATTCTCCCTTTATAAACATTTTGGGGACATGTCCTCAATTCCTTTTGGTCTGCATTTGTGGCACTTGCATACAACTAGGTAATTCTCTTTCTTACTAGGATATGGCTATTAAAGAGAAAACCCACCCTCAAAATTAATTAATTTAGTTTTAGATAGACATAGTAAAAAAGTCGCATGTTGTTTAAAAACAGTGGTGTATATGTAAAAATATTTTAGTTATGTGTATTATATATCGTAAAACTGTGAATAAAAGCCCAATGGGCATCTCAAATTGAAGCAAACCTCCCCCCCCCCTCCCTTTTAGTTTGCAAAAGTAGCCTCGAAAAGAAGCTCATCTCAAAAAGAAGCACATATACATGAATTTCAAATAAACAAAATAAATTAAAAACACTCTTGGTTTATACAGTAGAGGTGATTTAATGCATTAGTATGATACAGACTGATGCTATAGCAGTCCTATTGTTTTATAGTAATTTCCAAAATTTACAGCATTAATTTTGAAAAGAAACCAGCCACCCCCTCCCCCCCATTCACCCCTGTTTACTTTGAATAAGTAGCCTTTCAAAGGAGCCCATCTCAAAGAAGCTAATCCAAAGGTCGCAAAAAAAAAGAAAAAAAAAAAAGTCCAGGTTTTATGGAATTACAGCATGACTAGGAATATTTCCCAGGAAGCTGAGAAAAGTTGATTTAACAAGGTAAAAGAAGATTTGATAAATTTTGCATCACCAACATCAATGCATCATCATTTTTACACAAGCTATATTAAACTTCCTGTTGGGCTAGGTATGGTATCTTGGGAGTGCTAGAGCTAGAATGTTTCTCTTATCTCTTCAAACTTGCTTTTTCTTGGTCTTGAATGAAAAAAAATATATATTTATACAGTTTATTTAATAATAATATACAAATGGTTTGCTTGAGTTGTCTAGGCTAGACAAGGTGTCGACAATGTCATATGGTGCTATAGACAGATAAATTGTTCTGCATTATCTTGGAGACTTCTGACTGATAAAGGAATATTTTTAGGCTAAGAATTTTAGCCTCAAATCATTAATATTGCAATATAAGTTGTCATGGCAACAAGTGATGAACAAATTCCAAAGTATTTTGGAACAATTAATTGGAACATAGTAATTAAAATGTAAAATACTAGCAAAGGTAATTTAAGCATATTAGTATCCAGAATTCATTATCTATTTGTAATTCAAATGTACAAGAAAATGTGACTATTATACTATTTTTTGAGATGTTCAAATGTGCATTATTATAAAATAGAGAAAATTAAAATTATGGGAAGCTAAATTCGGGGAAGCTAAAATTCAACAGCATTTTAAAAGTCAATAATCAAATTGCATCACAATATTGTAAGTATACAATTTTTTAGAGACTTAAAGTCAAACTTTTAAGAGGTGCTTCATTAAGAGTACGAATTATCACAAATTTATGGACTAATGAAAAGGTACCATGTGACCGTCAGGCCTACTGTATCTAACTTTTATGATACAAATCATCAATCATCATTACCGTGCATCCATGAAGTGGAACCAACTACCTAGCAATATAACTAGGGATTTCCAGAATTTTAACCTACACATTTAAAAATGCTCTGAATTAATTGGTCTCTCCTCTATTTTTGTGATTAAGTCCTCTACTTTTGTAATTAAGTCATCTATTTTTGTAATTAAGTCCTTTGTTTAATTTTCCTAAATTTTTCTTTTCAATTTTTGTATTTTATGTTATGTAACTGGAACACAACGAAAACCTGTGCCTTTGCATTGAGCGTGCCATCCAGTATAACGAAAGTTAAATAAATAAATGAATAAGGCACATTGTAATATGAACTGTTGATTAATCGCCGAAAGGTTTACTAAAAATAGAAGATGTTAGCAATGATTAGAAAAAGAAATCATGTAAGATGTACATAGTGCTTACTCAAGAGAGGCATTTATTAGATCATTTATGCAACAGGGCCAGCGGAACATTTTTCAAAGTGGGGGCTTCTATTGAAGGTTTTATGGTATTACAGCATGACTAGGAATATTTCCCAGGAAGCTGAGAAAAGTTGATTTAACAAGGTAAAAGAAGATTTGATAAATTTTACATCACCAACATCAATGCACCATCATTTTTACACAAGCTGGATTAAATTTCCTGTTGGGCTAGGTGTGGTATCTTGGGAGTGCTAGAGCTAGAATGTTTCTCTTATCTCTTCAAACTCGCCTTTTCTTGGTCTTGAATGAAAAAAATATATATATTTATACAATTTATTTAATAATAATATACAAATGGTTTGCTTGAGTTGTCTAGGCTAGACAAGGTGTCGACAATGTCATATGGTGCTATAGACAGATAAATTGTTCTGCATTATCTTGGAGATTTCTGACTGATAAAGGAATATTTTTAGGCTAAGAATTTTAGCCTCAAATCATTAATATTGCAATATAAGTTGTTATGGCAACAAGTGATGAACAAATTCCAAAGTATTTTGGAACAATTAATTGGAACATAGTAATTAAAATGTAAAATACTAGCAAAGGTAATTTAAGCATATTAGTATCCAGAATTCATTATCTATTTGTAATTCAAATGTACAAGAAAATGTGACTATTATACTATTTTTTGAGATGTTCAAATGTGCATTATTATAAAATAGAGAAAATTAAAATTATGGGAAGCTAAATTCGGGGAAGCTAAAATTCAACAGCATTTTAAAAGTCAATAATCAAATTGCATCACAATATTGTAAGTATACAATTTTTTAGAGACTTAAAGTCAAACTTTTAAGAGGTGCTTCATTAAGAGTACCAACCGAAAGGTTTACTAAAAATAGAAGATGTTAGCAATGATTAGAAAAATAAATCATGTAAGATGTATTATTTAAGAGAGGCATTTATTAGATCATTTATGTAACAGGGCCGGTGGAATGTTTTTCAAAGTGTGGGGGGGGGGCACTAGTAAGATGAATGGGAATATGATTCAGGGGGTCTGGTTTTAAATTTAGGGGGTTGGAGTCAAAATGTTTCCCAAAAACGTCAAAAAGGAAGGGGGTCCGGGGGTCCTCCCCTTGAAAATTTTGATTCCTAGATGGCGGGAAATGAGCTTTCCTGAGTTTTTAGCTAGGTGTCTTTTAATGACTTTTCAGTTCTTCAAAATTCAAGGTTTTCCCCCTCTTGAAAACGGTCAGGTAAACGTAGGCCTATTGTTTTTTCGATGAATCGATAAATTCCAAAAAGAAAGGTGTAATGCCTATAATTTTGATAAGAACTGTTAATAAAATGTAACTTCTTATCTAGAAGTGGCTTCTGGTAATTATAATCAATTCTTAATATATTTATGTAATAATAGTTTTAGGAAATACTGGTTCTGTATTTCATTTTTAAAGTATATTTTTCTGATATATGTTCCATGAGCAGTACAGCAGAAATGTGCTATTGAAGATAAATGTACCAGTACTGATTATGATGAAGTGTGAGTAGCAGAAAGCTTCGACGTGTTCTACAAAGTTAACCTGGAAAAATGCATGCGCCATAAAAACACATTCTTACTATTTTGATAGCCATCTCATTTAATGAAACAAGATGATGTTAATCAGTCTCAGGTGGTAAATTTGAGGCCAACTTGAATGAAGACGTCACAATTTATTACGACAAATAAATAAAAAAAACATGTTGCTCGACTTCTGCCACATTCTCGTTTGGCCAGAAAAAAGAAAGTTCCGGATATTGCTGCTAAAATCAAACATTGTGTGGTTTTATGTCTAGTCCATGTCCTAGTGCAATTGTGTGCATTTGGCGATCCATAGATGGCAGTATAGGTCCCCCCCCCCACCCAAGCCAGTCAATTAATCTCGCTAAAACTGTGGACCTTTCACATCAGACCTCAAAACAGGCATAAGTTGAAAGTCCCATCATATGCCTTTCATTTATACTGTGGGGTAGAGAGGGACAAACGTAGACAAAGTGTCTTGCCCAAAGATGCAAGAGACATAAGGTTGGGGTCAGAGCCACAACCACTGCATCAACTGCTTCCACTGTATTAAGTAAGGGAACATCCCTAACCCATATGGGCCATATTTGTTAAGGGGGAAAAAAATTTATTCTCCAGGTTTTTTTCTTCAGAAAGCGCAAACGAGGAACAAGTTTATTTTATTAAGTGGCCCTAACTGAGCGTAACTATAATGGGGTTTAACTAAATGTCAAGTTGTGAGTGATTATGTGTGAAAGTGCATTTAAGTAACATTGCCGGAGGATGAAGTGGCATTTTCTGGCACTGTTGTGTAATGATTTTTGTAATTTAGAATTTTTAGAACATTAGTGTGATATTGAAATTTATGTTTGATCATATCCAGATGGAAATATGGAAATTGTAATGTACATTGCTACTTAGTAGGTAGGTGTCTCAGTATATGGCTTAGGAGGTATTTTCGTAAAAATTGAAATCCAGCCATATTAATGGCTGGGACCAGGATACTAGGATCAGACACACCTAAAGGAGGGCACATATGACCACCAGCCGATGAATCCATCTTGACGACGAATCCATGATTACTGGGGATAATCTGATTGGAATGTCATTAAAAACAATCCATTGAAGATGATTGTTATGTTCTCCATAGGATCATGTCAACAGTCCGTGCACTGTGTGCCTTTGTTGGCACCAAGACACAACTTCCTTGTTTATTTTATTATGATCAGATTTTATATTTAAATTGGCAAGACCATTGCATATTGGAAAACAAAAGAAATAGTAAATTGACATCATTTTTGTCATTACCCCACTAACAATAAAACATGCATTGTAATTTGGAATTCTGTAACATTTTGCAGGTAAGAGAAGGTAATGTACGCACAGCATTCCGTACAAAAGGCTTGTGGCCAGCTAGGGGAAACATGACACTTACCTTCAGCACGGATGCTAACTTTCCATATGTATCGGCACTTACTATGATAGGCCCAAGTCCTGATTGGAATGTCGGCATTAGCAATGTTAACATGTGTACGGATGAATGCACTTGGCTTGACCGAGCAGAGTTTGACTTGGTACCGTGGGATGCAGGCACGGACAGTGGTGTTACATATATGGTTAGTATGCTAATTTATTTTTTTATTTTTTTTTTTGCAATTACACATTTTTAAGATCATGAAAGTTTTCAAGGACACACATCAAGCAAAGTCTTCCATTTAGGAAATATAGTCACATATTTATAAATCATTTCACAATGAAAGTAAAATAAATTCATTTTCATCAACAATGAATAACATTATGTATTTTAAGGGACAGAAAATCTCTAGAATCAGAAAATATCTTAAAAGAAAATTATACTATTACTAGTAGTGTTAAACAATGCCAGCCTTGCTCTTCAGAATATTATTGATTTTTGTGACTCTCATGGGAGACATATATTTTATCTTGATTAAGTGGTAATTGTAACAAGCCTAGAATTTACTGTGTGTGAAAGCCATGAATCATGACAGATGTCATGTATGTGAATTGTGAATATCTTTTTTCTTGGAAATATGTAAAGCAATCATCTTTTTCTTTTTTAGTGCCTATTCACACATATTTTCTTGTTTGTAATTACATTTTACACAAATTATTATCTCTGTAATATCTAGGTGTAATAGTTTAATATATGAAGATTATTCATGAACATAAATTATATACCGTAATATTTTTTTGTCATTTTCAAAAACTACAAAAGATACAATTGTGGGAGGGGTTAACATTGTACTCTTTTATGGAAAAAGTAAAGAATATTCTCAAGATTACAGTCTTCATTATTGTGAATTCATTTAGCGGACGATTAGGAGCATATAACAGAATAAATTTCTTACTCTCTTGAAAGAGATGAAAAATGTGAATATACCTGGTATGTTTATGATTTTGAAAATTATGAGAAAGCTTAATTTTTTATTTCAACAGTCGGCAAACTCACCAACAAATCCACAAGAGCCAATACGAGAAATCACGAGTCAAGACAGCCCACAAAGCCCCTTTTATGATGCTAGTGGCACCCCTATCAAACCTCTTGCTAAACTCTTTATCGAAAAAATATGTAGACGGGGAGAAAATTGCTTTACCAATACAAACAGTAAGTATATATGGTTTAATAAGGCAATAAAAAAAAAATTATTAGTTCATCACCCTTGCATGCATGTCTATGTTATTGGAAATAAAAAACAATTTTTTTTTTGTTTTTTTTTGTAGTAAATAATTTAAATTAGTAGATATTGTTTGTATTATCTCAATGATGTTTTAATTTGAATGTCAATGCACCAGCAAACCACTTAAGTGTGATATTTAGCTTTAGCCAAATAAAAATATAAAGCCTCCCTCCCTCATCACCTTTCCAGGCTAGATAGGGTGATAAATTAATAATTATTTTATAGGGCCTAATAGGCCTACCATATTTATTATATAATGCAGTAGAACCCCTTTTAAGGGGACACCTCTGGACCAAACGAATTCTCCCTAAATATGGGTTGGCTGTAGATACGGTACTTTCCCTCATTTTGTGGACAAACAAGTGTTCTCTAATAGGGGCATAAACTAATTGCTCCATGCTAGGGGTATCTCCTTAATAGCTGGGGTGTCCCAAAGGAGAGGTTCTTCTGTATTTAACATTTTTTACCAGTTTGTTATGTATGACCAAAATCTGTATTAATGGAAATAAATATTACCATAAGTCATGGATTAAAGGAATATTGTTATTTTTACACCTCAAAGCAACTCCTGCTCTGCTTTTCAAAACCTTGTTATCAGAAAAAAATTATCAGGTCAAAGTAACCATATTGCTGTCTCTAAATATCATTTAAAAGCATAACTTATCGCTTAGTAACAAGAATGTGGTTTTTAATGGCTACAATGTAACAGCAACATAAAACTTGCAGATTGAATAGTTGTTTTGCTTGGTGATTTGCCCGTAAGATATTTAAAATGAGGAATGCATGATAATCATTATAAGTAATGGCTACGAGTATCAGAGCAGTATGTTTTTCTAGTAGGCAATATTGGAATTTCAAGTAATTTTAAACAGGACTGTAGCACAGTAAAAGGTTTTTTTTATGCATAGGTGCAAAGTTTTAACTTATTTTATTACTACCTAGATAGATGAATCATATGTATTAGTTTAGCCCAGACCGAACTCTCTCTCTCTCGTAGCCTGATCAGGACCTCCAATGTTGATCAGGTTTATATTGCCCGACATTCTCAATCTCAATGATTTAAGTTAAAATAGGTTTGCATACATACGACCGGTATAGAAGAAACTTATTATATTATTTAAATAAGGTACAGGAAAGGAATTCTTTTGAAGAGAGAAACTACAACCATGCCGGTATAAAAGCATACATACATATTTTAACTATAAAGCGCAGTCCACAGGCGAATTCAGGGGGGAAGCCGGTACAGTACCCTCCCCTCTGTAAAAAATTTGAGAATGGTATCATTAATTTTTTTTTTTTTCGATGTTTGCATGAGGAAATTCCATATCACTGATGTTCTGCCCTACCAGACATGTTGAATGCGTGGTATTAATATCTATATGGTAATTACTGAGGAAAATTCTGTTTTTAATTGAAAGCTAATAACTTAAAAATACAAAGCAATTGAAAAATATGGATTGTTGCCAGGGGAGGTGCCAATGGTAAATGGCTATGATCTATATTATTATTATTAATAATAATAATAATAATATGTACAGGTTTCTGCCAATTAAAACCACCTCCAATTATAAACTACTTTTCTGTGGTCTCAAATCAACAAACGTCTTTATTATTCTAATTAGAGACCAAAGCTGCAAAAGACCATGGAAACCTCTTTCCCAAAAGTGGTCTTAATTGAAGGGAGACCAGTATTTATAATGCATTTGGTATATTCCTTCCATTGGTAGGACATGGTACATCCTCTGGTGGAATGATGAAGAAACCGTCAATGATGCCTCCAAAGAAAATGATGCCAGGTGGTAAGGCTACCATGCCACCAAAGAAAATGATGCATGCAGGTCGTGAATTTACCATGCCACCAAAGAAAATGATGCCTGGTGGTGGTGAGTTCACCATGCCACCAAAGAAAATGATGCCTGCGGGTAGTGAGTTTACCATGCCACCAAAGAAGATGATGCCTGGTGGCGGTGAGACTACCATGCCACCAAAGAAATTGATGCCTGGTGGTGAGTTTACGATGCCACCAAAGGAAGGAGCTGAGGTTATTATGCCACCCAAAAAAATTATGCCAGTTGAGGTAACCATGCCACCTAAGAACATGCCTACAAAGCCTCTGCCACCAAAAGGAATGGAAGGAAAAGGTAGTAAATTCATATTCAAAATATAAATTATGGAAGCCCAGTGGCAGATTGACCTATCTATTTACAATCTATCTATTAACAATGTTATTACCCGAAGCATCGGCATCATCAATAAACTTAAATTTACGTTTCCCTCTAATATTCTATTAAAATTGTACAATTCTTTAGTATTGCCTTACATTTCTTATTGTAACATTGCTTGGTCTATTTCATTCGACAAGTTTATCAATTCTTCCCCCTGGGATAGCTTCGAAACAACAAGCATTGACAACCTTTTAACTTAAAAAACGGGCCATGAGAATAACAAGATGGTACCATTCCATATCTTCATTATTTTAAAAATCGTCTGATTACCATCAATATACTGTAATACGCGATCCTCACAAAATCTTGTTTCTGAATCCTTAACTGTTTCAAATCATTCAATTTTTTACAAAAAGTATGGGATTCCCTTACCATATCTTTGATCCCTGCCACCAGCATGCCTCATTTACTGGTTATATGAATCTAATCTATGACAATCCATTTTAGATTCATCAGTACAAACAGTGATAGTTGACTGTATGATGTCAGAGTGGGGGCCGTGGTCCGAGTGTAGCAAGACATGCGGAAAGGGTAGAATGAGCCGCTCACGAATGGTTAAATTGAAACCAAGAAATGGAGGTGAAAAATGTGGAAAGAGGAAAGAGAAAAAAACGTGTAATCTAGCAGCGTGTTGTAAGTTGAATTTTTTGTTTTTGCCTATGTTCTTCATGTTTTTGTTTTTTTTGTCGTTGTTGGTCATTTGTTTGTTACCACAATAACTAAAGTAAATCTGGTTGGTTTCAAACTTGCCAGAAAGATGTTAATAAGAAGATGGAGCCTATTGTATTTGGTATGTGTGTGAATCTTCTAATTGCTCATTTGCATATAATTAATATTTCAATAATCAAATAATTTAGGCTAGTTACCACGATAACTAAGTTTGTGTAAGTCCGATTGGTTATAAACTTGGCAGAACGCAAGATGTTAATAAGAAGGCAGAGCCTATTGTTTTTGGTACATGTGAGAATATGCTAATTACTCATTTTCATAATTAATATTTTACTAATCAAGTAATTTAGGCTAGTTGCCATAACTAAAGTTTGGTAAGTCGAATAGGTTTCAAACTTTGCACAATGCAAGATGGTAATAAGAAGGCGGAGCCTATTGTTTTTGGTATGTGTTTGAATATGCTATTTACTCATTTGCATATTTCATTTATCAGGAAATTTATGCTAAATACCATCATAAATTTTTTTTATAAATCTAATGTAGGTAATATAGTAATATAGGTAAATGACATCTCAATCTTAGTAAGTCTATCTGATATGTTTCAATCTCCTACTTAGATCTCACAGAAAGATCACACAATGAGAAAGCTAGTATGCTTTTGCTGCGCAGCATAAAAGGAGCATTTATAGTTTTGCCGTGAATGGTGATACCCATCAGTACTGAATTCTATGAAACAATCGATAATGAAGTAATAAAAACACGCAAATATTAATAATATTCCGGGAGATTTTGCTTGCTTGCGAGAGGCCGTCCCGATTTCCAGGAGACTCCCACTACTTTTGACAGACTTGGGACCCTTACTTGGGAAGGTGGTGTGTTCTGACAGACTGTTGTTTCCCATTTATATGTTGTTAACTACAATGCAAAAAGTGCCATGACCAAACTTCGGTTTATTCCAGTTCATTGTTCAAGGTGCATATGGTTAAGCATTTGTAGGTTTTGAATTGTTGTCATTATTACACATTGTATTTAACTTGATATGGTTTCAACTGGATGCAGCAATTATACTTCATTTACCATACCAATTACAGTACTAACATGTTACAATAATTACAAACAACTATAGTTGCACAAGGTATCTTAATAGTGTACCTCACTTGTGCATGTTTGTTTCTACAATCATATTCAATATTTTTGCAGTTAAAATACCCGGTTCAGTCTCTTATTATGAATTGACATCGTTATAAAAAGAAACTATAATAAAAACTAATAAAGCAAATGAATAAATGTGTATTGTTTAGATTTTATCATCCCAAAATGAAGTATTTTTTCTGAAATCAGGCCAAAACATTTCTATTTGTTATAATAGGTGGGAGAGAGAAAATGTGTACAGTACTGTATTTTATTCAAGTATTTATTCAGTATTAACATTTTTGTTTCACTATTTTTTCAATAGCAAGAGATTGCAAATTGAGTAAATGGTCAAAGTGGTCAGAATGTTCGAGCACATGTGGTAACGGCATGAAAATAAGGACACGCCAAGTCATCGAGGAACAGACTGGTGATGGAGATCCGTGTGGCCGTGTGATGGGAGATAAAATGTGTAATCTAGATCCATGTCCGTAGGGTATTTTTACTCTAAAAGTAATACAGTACATGCAAGCTTAACGTTCCATCTTGAAGTGGCTGAATAAAAGTGGACATTTTTTTTAATATAATTAAAACAAATAAATCCACCTATGAAATAATTGCAGTTAAAATGTACTACAAAAAATAACGTGGTATTTCTGTGGCTGCTAAAAACTTTTGAATTTAAAGAACTTTTTGTGTAAAACTTAAATAAATGCTGTGATTTAATGGAAATGTTTTGAGATAAAAATAGTAACTGGGTCATTGCATTTTCTGCCTGCAAGTGATGTAAAGTGGACAGTTTGTAAATATGCAAAAATCAAGTGTACCACAGTGTTAGATGGTCACTACCACATAATCTTATAAATAATATTCCAGCAGATTGTTCATGTGTACATACTCTGTGAACTAAGTAGACCTGTTTTATCATGTTCCTGATACCTTTGGTCATCCATTTTGCAATTGTAAAGTTGGGTCCCTTGGTCGAAAATGACCGCTTTTATGCAAAAGTATCCATTTTTGGAAAAAATACTGACACTTTGTATTTCGGTCAATATTGGTCATAGAGAGTTTATTTTGGTACCAAAATGTTGGGAAAGGTTCTGTTTCTATTCACTGTAATGACAAATTTTTAACAAAAAATTACCAGGAAAAAAGTTTATCAAAAATCTTGTTTTTATATCAAAAACATGTTTTTTTATATAATTTTTTTGCTTTCCAGGCCATTGAATGTTTCCAATTATTTAGTGGTGGCAAATGATAGCTAAAGTAACAATAATGAATCACTAAATCACTAAAAAATAAAAAAATTCTAATGAGTTGTGCAACAGTGCTGCGGATGTGTCAACTAGTCGGGAAGTTATTCCCTCTGCCAGTCTGGTTACCATTACTTTTTGAAGCGAACTTTAAAGTGTTGTCACTTGTATTAACTAGATTCAGGTAGTCAAAATAATAAACTTGACCAGAATTACAATGTCCACAATGAATTAGATCATCACAAAACTATTAATCCTAACTTCCTCCAGGGGGGTGTGCTTGTATACGGAAAAGAGAGGGTAAAAAGTGTGGGGCAGGAGGAGAATCAAACTGGGGATGTACTTGCCACTTGAAATCACAATTCAACCAACATAATAGAAAGATTCAAAGCTGTTCTAATTTAAATCAAGTTCTTGTCTATATACCCCACGGCATCATGGGACAATCTAGTTTTGTTGTGCAGATGATGAAGAGTACCACCGAGTCTCAAAAACTTGTATTGAAAGTTACTACATACATTTTTTAACTGTTTACTATATTCTCATGTATAAGACGAGGCTTAAAATAGCAAATTAAGATGGAAAAATGGCGGATCTTCTCAAACTGGTGGTGGGGGTTTCGTCTTATACGCGAGTACCGTATATTCGGTATCGATATTATCAAACTGATTGACACAAGTTTTTCGTATGGAGAAGAAAATTGTTAAAACAAGAGCCTACATCTACCAAGTTAATTTAAAGAGATTTGTTGTGGATAACCGGTAGAAGTATTACATCTGGGGGATATAGTTTATATGGAAATGTTATCAACACACAATGTACATACAATGCTTTGGAGATAAATCATTTTGCATATATTACTGCTGTAGTATATAACTATTTGTGATTATCTATTGTATAAAACTTGATCATTTTGTTGAAGTGACCAGTATAGAATGACTATGAGCTCCAGTCCAAGAAATCATTAACTTGTGGTTCACTTGTTGATGCTATAATCTATAGAATAGGAGGCAGTCGTAAAATATAAGTTATGACTCAGCAAATGAACCTGTGGAGCATCAAGTTGAAACTCACACAAATACAGTCTGTGACAGTGCATGTGTATTTTGATAAATTAACGAATTTTCAGGACACATGACCCTTTGGCAAGTTACTGAATAGTGAACGTTAATTTGAGGCTTATGTGTAGAGAGGGATCCAGTAAAAACAATTGAAGCCTGTGACGTGTGTCCTGAAAATTTTATTAAAATGAACATGCACCGTCACAGACTATTTGCATGAACTTAATTGTATTTTTGGATTCAGTGCAATTCGCAGCCACCTCGACTAGATTTATTCATCAAATTGATTTTGATCTGATCTTCTTTTGATCTTCATTAGACCCAATTGTGTATTGGGCCTTGTGTGTTACCAGTTACAAACTTGCATTGTAAACATATTATCGCTCATTCCATAAAAACTGGTGCAACTAGTCGTTTTTCCATTCTTTGGCCAAAATTTCTAACTGAGGCTGATAAAAATGAACTAGATGTCTTCCAACATAAATGTCTCAAGAAAATCATGCATATACTGTAAGATGGCCAATAAAGGCACCCTCCTTACTGTTTACCTCCCAGACCTGAATATATAAAAAAAAAACTGATCAATGGATCTGAATGAAACCTTTAAGTATGGTTTATCATGGTCCAAGGAAGAAAGATTAAAAGGTGTGAATATGAGGACCATTTTTATGATAACTTTACATCCGGTAGGCCCTTATATTATTTTACCATGTGACAACCATCTACCTATTTTTTATATTTCATATAACATTAAGCCATTTGTAACAAATAATCCTAGTTATATTTACAAACGATTATTCAATGACCCCATTTCTTCCCCCAGGTACCGAACTGCTAAATATTGGTCAGAAATTTATTCCATCAATAATGATGAGCTTATGACAAATTTAAGACCCTTTATGATAAGCACATTGATATATACAGAAAGAAATCAATATTCGTATGTAAAATAAACTCTGGATAACTAAAGGCATCAACTCCAAAAATGACAAATTTTAACAATACTAAAAAAACATCACGCTCTCTGTCGACTTAACCATAGATGGTCACCCAAATAAAAGAACTGATAGTCGCAGTTTACTCTAAATTGAATTGGAAACCGCACATTGCTAACATAAATAACATTGTCTTATGAAATGTTGGAATGTTAACTAACACTTTTCCATCAAACATTTGACAAATTCATCCATTGTTTCCCCCGAGTATGGAAAGCCGAATCCGGCAAAAATTCCAAAAATCAATTCAATCGCACTAAATTCAAACCATTCAAACATATTCCAAATGATTCAATAGGAAGTCACACCATTCAGGTAATACTCAAACCATCAAATTCAAGGTGTGATCATCTACCCCTACTCGTGCGATTAAGAGTCCCCTCCTAACGTGAAGTGCTCCTAATTTGAATAAGCGCCACTCCATTCCAAAAAAAAATCAATTTAATCATACAGTACATCACCAACTTAATTTTCTGTCCGATCAATAATCTATTAGTATCTAAGCTTGGACAGTCTATCCA